TTCTTTAACAATATTATTCATTGTTGATGTAGCTAACACATAAATAACATTGAATTAACAAGAAATACATTAAAAAAACATAACAACGAAAAATTCAAAAGTAATGAAAGATTGTAGCGCAGGTACAAAAAAAATTTCTTTTACCCATATCAATCATACATAAAAAACTCCAAAAATAACATAATATTCATACATCACGATTCTCATGAAAGTAACGTAAATAATTAACTCTACGATCAGGTGTCATCAACATAAAGAACTCTCCTCGTCGGATCTTCTAACAACTTCATTGAAAATAAGTAAAACAACATTATCTGCATAAATTTATGGAGTTTCTTTTAGTATTCTCGTAGTTTGCTGAATAGAAGTTGCATATGATGTGTTAGGTTCATTAGTCATGAAGCAACTAACTATGAAATCTATTTTTTAATAAAAACATCACCATCATTTTTCTTTTTCTCAACTCTAGATCGTTTGGAATGATTATTCAATCCAACTTCATTTAGGTTAGAATTGAACCCTTCATTTAAGTCAACAGTTTGCTCAGCATCTACATGCTTAGCCTTGTCAGCGTGCACTCGCTCGCTTGTTGCCTATGCATGATCACCTGTGGTCACGACTCCACCATACATTAAGTTCAACTTTTCTTCAAGCCTAAGGTCAATGCCACTGAACTTGAACTTTTTGACAGTTGGCGCGAACTACAAATTAATTGATAATTGATGCGTTGATGTAATAGAAATTGACATAAAAAAAATGGAAAGCACTAAACGTTCAATAAGTTTTTACCTTCAATCTCTCAGCTCACCATTTCTTCGAAGTGTTAATGGTTCGCTTTATGGGATCTCAATCCAAGCCTGTGTATCCTCGTTTTAACGCTTTCCATATTTTCCAATCCTTTTTTAATTGATCTAATTTATTTTTCAATTACATTCTATCATATTCTCTTCCTGTGTTTCTCTTGAATTTTTTTAATATTGTCATCCTTGTTAAAATAGGTGATTGAATTATTTCCTAATTCCGCCTCTTTTAGCCAAAGATCATAAAATATTAACTTTACATCTTTATCTGACACAGCGGACAAAGCTATTTCTTTTGTCTTACCCATCATCTTGAACGCATGCTTTTCAAACATCAAGACAATGACTTACAACAAGGCTCATCAAATCAACATAACTCAATTATACCCCCACTCTCCAACAACTTGTTTTCTTGCAACCACCACCACCACTAAGGCGAGAAAGAGGAAAAATAAGATGAGATGTTAAGGCAATAAGGGCTATCACCACAACTATAATCGGATTAACACTCAACAACATCTTCCTAGTAGATCGTAGGAGGCATCTAACAATGACAATAAGCATCTTCTCTTTCAAAAATGAAATATTTTGAATGAAATGTTCAACTTTAAAGAAGAATATATTATCGTCCCTCTCAACAAACCATCTTTTCAACAAAAAAAATAGTTTTTTTTTTTTTTAATGAAAATCAATGGATCATTGAAAAATAGAACTTTCTGCGAGAGGTAGCCTAGGCATCATTGATGATGGAGAGCAAATTAATATCTATTTCTATTAATTTAACTATTCGTATCATATAATTTTTTTCATGAAGTACAAATGAATATGATAAAATGATGTGCATAAGCTAGTTATATAATTTCTTCCCATCCATAGCAAGCTTCTACATCTAAAAGACAATCACATGTGCGGCGAGAATCATCTCAACTGAGACAAAGAGCAACCCAACCGAGACAACGAGCACCCAAACCCAAAATTCATTGACAATAGACAAAGGCCGAAAACCACAAAGGACAACAATACCAAAACAGAATCATCATATACATAAATTAAGTTCCCCCATTCATAGAACAACAATTCACATAGGTATTCACCAAAATTCACTAAGCATATATGGAGTAACCCAACCAAAACAGAGAGCAATCCAGAATGAGCGACTCAGCCAAGAAAGAGAGCAAACCAAAAATAGCAACCCAACTGAAAAAGAGTGCAAACCACAAAAAGCACCAAACTGACAAAGAAACAACAAATTCTCCAAAATTAACAGAAACAAACGAAATGCGATTCTTCCAACATAACAATTTTTCCATAGAAGATCACATAAGAAACGAATAAATGAAATCAATTGGGTTTTTGCACAAACCACAAACCACAAAGAGCAAAGCCACTGAGACAGAAACCACAAAACACAAACCACATAGAAAATACACTGAAGTTTAAGGAACAAAATGTTGGCACTCTATCACAACAAGTGGCTGAAAGATGGAGAAAAACAAAGGAAAAAAAAAACCCTATACAAGGTCCTAGCTTGAATGGATATGAAAAGGGTGACACCCAGGTAATAGAGAAGAAAAAAATGCAAAACGCGGGGTCGAGTCGGAGTCCCCATAAGTGGAGCGTGTTTAAATAACACGGCGGCACAGCTCTACCTGACGCAGAAAACCGTGTTTTTGTGTAGCACCACATCAAAAAAGCTACCCCAAACACATGCTAAAAGTTTATGAAATTTTAATCAAAATCAAAACTAATTAAATAATTTTCTCATCCTTGAGAATTAGCATATAGTTTATAAATATCAAAATGATTATTTTGAGGAGTAGAATGTAATCAATTGTTTTTTAAAAATTTTTGAAAAAGTTGAGTTTTTGGTCTAATCTATTTGGTTAATCTTCAATTTTTATCTTATCAAATTTGAGTATTGCATATTGTTGCCTAGACGCTGCCTCCTAAATCCCCATAACCATTGGAAATCCATTTACATATTGTTCCTTAGAAGCCGCATTTGAAATCCCCATAATAATTGGACTCCCATTTCAGTTGCTTTGTGAGCCATCCAAAAATTTGATATCCCAAAATACTAAAATATTCAAAGCACAAGGCATGTCAAACATGATCATTTCCTTTTAAGACAAGAAACTTTAGCATCCCTATCCTAAGCTCGGTATTGTTCATTTGGAAATCCAAGTAGCACTGCTAGTTGAATCAGCAATAACACGTTAAATATCTACCTAATTTTATTTAGGAAGGAATAAACTAGCACAACTTAAACAAGAAGGGTGCAGAAACCAGTCCCACCTACAAGTTTGGTGAAAGAAAGCATGAGAGTAAGAAGAAGAAGAAGTTCTAGAAAAAATTCTGCAGTAAACCTGTAATTCTCTGTGATTATTGACATCTAGAGCCAACGAATTAGCCATTGGAAATTGAACAGATGAAACCCTCTACCCTTAATTTCTCATATATTTCATCATCAGGAAATTATTAGGAATGAGAACCCCAAGCAAGAAGATCAGATAAAACTTTCATCTTTTCCACATACATCTGCCCCATTTGGTTTTTGAGTCAGAAAATAATCATATTCTAAAATTGAATTCTTACATTAAATTACTATCTTAGATACAGGATTATATTTATACTTTTCCTAGGTAATTAACATGAGCATATTAGGAATTAGGCCTTCCATTAGGAAGGATAGCTTAGATGAGGGTATATAATAAATAAAATAATACAATATGTCCATTAGATCTAGAGCTTGTGAAGCGAGGCGTTAAGCAGGATGCACTACCTGTAGTCAAACATAAAAGTAGTTGAAGCCAGGCATGACAAAGCACATACCTTTGATCCAAATAAATTGTTTGCGTTCGTTAATGTTTAGGCGAACTTATAATAACGGTACAACCATAACAATATGGGTAAAGTTAATATTTTTATTTAAATATTCAGAAAACTAGAATTATATAAATTAACCTAAGGAAAAAAAATCTAATAATCGAATTGACCTAAGCTTATACATTATTAATTTATATAATTGTACTCTATTCATCGTGAATCATTTTTGCGAAAGTTAAATAATACTAATATTGATGTTTAAAGGCATGCATAACTTTTCAAAGATAGTGAATTATTTATTTAATAAAAAATTGCAGCCTGAAAACGTTTTGGATAAAACGGAATTAGCCTTTTCATGCAATTATGACAGTTAAAACTATAATTCTGCATTTGTACGTGCTTCCTTGGCAAACTGCCAACATTATTGTCATAATACATTATGAACCACATTCCTTGCCAGTATACTCTGCAAGTACGCTTCATGTAGTAATTTGTTCACAAACTCTAGTACAATCTTATTGCGGATTTCAATCATTAGTTCCAGCAAATTGAAGCCTAATATATGAAAAATTCTTTCAAAACTATCATAAGACTCGTGACAACTATTTGACGTTGATTTTATAAATCAACATCTCCCATTCATGCTTGAGAGATCTTGAGGTTGCCTTATGCTTTTTTTTTTTTTTTTAACAATTTCTATCCATTTTACCTTTAATCTATCTCACATTCATTATCATCATTCCAAACTAATTTTATCTGCCCAACTTATGGGTGCATTTCCTACACTCTATTATGCATGTCCAGACTAATTAACCTATTTTATATGATTTTATCTTCAATAAATTCTACACACCAACAGCCCCTCTAATAATCATTTCACAATCTATCTCTCTTAATTTTGTCACACATCTTAATATTCTCATTTGATCACTTGTGCAAATCTGCTCTCAAGGTTTTTTTCTTTTTCGTTCAAAGATGAAATCTAAAAAATCTCTAGTGATAACGATAGAACAAAATTGGATTAATTACATATCAAGTAAAACTCAAATGCATTATTGTTTACAATTCAATAACATATTATTTATAAATCATTTAGTCAAAGAGTCTCATTCATAAGGCGAGTTGTGTATCACCTAGGCATGATCAAAGTATACGACAAAAAGATACATGTCTAGTAGAAAAATAGATAAAGTAATATTTTAATAAGAACTTCAAAACATGACAAAAAGAATTCCACTACTTATGAGGCATAAGTATCACATGCTCCGTTTAGATGACTAGAAAGGGGGCAATTAAACAAAAAAATATTAAAAATACACAGATAAAGATGATGGCCCAGCAAGGGAGAACAATGCATGAGGATCAATGGAGTACCTCAAGCTCACTGTATCGCCTCAGATGGGTATGATATCTTTCTTGATAATCAGTAATTTCCTTCAGCAATTGTTCCTGCAGGGCATTTTCTCGCCCTTTTGAGGCCTGAAGCTCCTGCTTGGCTGAATAGAAATTATCCCTGTACTTCTGACGCTCCTGTTCTGTAAAAGCAGCTGGAACTTAGACGCCTAATTTCCTTCGCAAAATGATATAGCAAACAAGTGTAGACAAAACAATGTAGGCAAATAAGACAAACTCATGTTAAACAAGAAATCAACAAAAATATTTCAAACTTAACACAACAGCACTACCACAGATTTCAGAATGCTATTATGATGCCAAGATGCATGTCCAACAAGCATAGAAAAGAATACGTCAACAAGCATAGAAAAGAATGCAAGTAGAAAGAGAAATTTGGCATAAAAAGCACTTAAAGAGCCTTAAAAACATTTCAAAAGCACTGCCATGAAACTCTGCACAGTAACAGATGTTAGCATCATCATCCAAGATGCATCAATTGTACAAAGTATAAGAACATTATCCAAACCACAACGGTCAGCAAGTTCAATCTAAAATAAAAAGAAAAAATAACCACTCCAAATATTTTTACAGGTTAAATGTACGTACGATAGGGTTGGTGTAGCTTCTACGACGGACAAAATTAAAGAAAGTCGTCTTAGATGGTTTGGTCACATTAAACGTCGACCATCTGATATGTTAAAAAAGGCAGAGGTAGACAGGCAGAGGTAGACTTAGGAAGACTTGGGCTTATTTTATAAAAAATGATCTTAATTTATTAGAACTAAATGAAAATATGACAATAAATAGGACGCAATGGAGAAAAAGGATTCATGTAGCCGACCCCACGTAGTGGGATTAAGGCTTTGTTGTTGTTGATGTTGTTGTATATGTATGTATGAATATATTATTTGTAGCAAAATAGTAGCTCAAAATAAAGAATACTTATAAAGAAGCAAGAGTATACGCACCACAATTGCATAGATCATTTTTCAATGCCTCTAATCTAGATTTGTATTCAAGAATTTGTTTCTCTGCGGTGCTTAAAGCAGCCATGAACTCAGACTTCACCTGTACATTTAGATAATACACTTAGATTAACAAAAGCAGTTTTGGCCCTAACAATCTTCATCAAAAATGAACTGATAACATCTTATAGCCAATCTAAAATATACTTTGCAAATGAATAAGGATAATATGAAGCTGTTAAATTTTGTTGAAGAAGCATCATTTTTTTTCTTTTTTTTTTTTGGAATGCTTGTAGATGAAATTTCAGAACTCTTGATTACACAAGTATATGAGAAAAGACAATATGTAAGACAAGAACACAGCTTTTACATTATTTAAATCAGGGAAAATGTTTCGCCATCCATGTTGACTAAAAACATACCAAAATTATACATGTACTTAATCACTTAGTCCAACCTACTTATCCATTAGAGGAAGCAGTGCAAGGCGTGTTTATTGTCGATGATCATTTCAAGCTATTTATGTCTTTATCATAAAAATAAGGGACTAGCAGAGAAGATATAATCAAAGTGTAATGGTGATGTGATACAATCAATAATGAAATAACAAAATCAAAAGGAATGCACTTGTTGAACTACAATGTGGAATCAGAAAAAATCCAATCCAAGGGATTCCAGCAATCCCTCTACATTTGCTTCATAACTGTCCATTATTTAGAATATCTCTCATAAAAAAGTTTCTAAATCCACTTTGCTTAGTACGTCACCCCAAAAAAATGTTTCAAAATCCAACTTATTTAGAACGTCTAGTCTAAGAAAGTATTAAATTCCATTTTGAATAAGTATGGACTAGCATATACCAGCTCAAAAACTGAAATACTTGTCAATGCATACGGCAATCTTGCCAAGGATTTCAAGTTGTCAAAGCTATCCATCATAACACTACTCAATGTCTTGATCACGTGAGATTGTCATAGCTTATTTTGCTAAACACCAAGAACACTTGAAGATGTCAATTCACCAAATGAATCTGCCCGATACTCAAATCTATCTGTCAGCCCGAAGAAAAATTTTTGGCTACTCAATCATAATTCAGCACTTTAAAGTGAAGTTGATAGCGACTTCACTTGAATAAGTCATTTACATAGAATTCATCATGAGTTCTTTGTGTGCTTAGAATGCTGTAAATTAGCTAAGTTAATTTATTTTACAGCAACCATCTGTTAAACATTGTTATATAAAGATACTTCTATTACTCAAGTATAGTATTTCTGATGGAGTTGTCTCAAACTGAACTAATAAATAAGGGTCAGGGGATGAATTTAGCCCATCAAATCATTTACATTAATATTATTTTTTCTAACAATTTAGTGATATCTCGTAACATTTCACTTTAAATTCTCTTAAACTTATCATATTTTTCTCTCTAAATTGATCAATTCTTGATTGCAAAATTTTGTTGTCACCTAAATATAAATTTATATCCAACAACAAACTTGTGAGGAAAACAAATTGAATCACAGGTTACTAGCAAGATGGGAACAATAAATACAACGATGGTGTTTTAATGAAAAAAAAAATAAACTGCGAAAATTCATATGAGTCAAGTAGATTCCTTATCCATGGATAGTCAAAAGAAGTAAAACCAAATAAGACCCAATACGGGAAGTTTTATGATAGACAAAATTCCTTAAAATAAAAAGGGGCAATTACAAACTTTGATATTTTACGAAACTAGTAACTTCTTTCATCCGTTTCTCAAATTCTCGCTCAAATAACAAAATTTACAATAAAATTTCAACCCATATTTTTCTTTTTTATCAAATTTCCAATGGTTTGACAATGGCAGCTTAAATAAACTGGTTTGGTAGTTCAATTTACATGGTGCTACTTCTGCAAATACCAGAGTTTCTAGTGATAGGCGTGTAAACCTCCATATATAAAAATATCCGAATCCTCATATCAATTCATAGAGAAAAGACGATAAAGTAACTAATGATTTTAAGAGTTACAGAAGTGAGTGTGCGTGAATGAGGATGGATTACCATCTGACGGCAGTGATAGGTGCAGACAAGCTCGTCGGATGTTTCTAAATAAGGGACAAGACGGCGATCAGAGACGGGGCTGTCATGCTCGGAGCCTGAACTGACCCTTCTCTTACGCTGCAGCGGAGTTCTCAGGATCATCTTCGAATGATGCCTCAAGGATTTCCCCTTGCCCTCCAGACGACTATCTCCCTATCTCTCACTAACCTCCCCGCGAACTCTTTTGCTTAGCACCGTTTCCTCTTGGTCTCAGAAATTGCAGATCGGTTCCTTGGCTCTTGGCTCTTGGCTCTTGGCTCGGAATAATTTGACGGTCTGTTTGGGGGATGGCTAGTTTTAGGTTGACTACCAAACAGTAGGCTCTAAACGAGCAGAGGTATCGCTCGTGTTTGGTTCGTTTGAAATTGATTTGTGTTGTTTGAAATGGCTCCTGAATAGTGTGTTCGTGTTCGGCTCGAATAACATTTTTCTGTTCGTGTACGGCTCATGTTCGGCTTGTCGTTATAATATAAAATTGTTATAATAAAATTTAATAAAAAATAATAATAATTTTGTCTAAAATTTTTTCAAGAACAAATTTCATACAAAAGTTCAAGAGATTTATTAACTAAAAAAATTGATTAACTAAAAAATATTACAAAATTTTACACAAGAATATTAATATAATTTGACAAAAACTTACAAAATAAGAACCAATTTATTACAAATTTTAAAATGTACAACTAAAAAAGAATACAAAAAATACACAAAATTTATCATTAAAAATTAATGCACAATCAATCAGGCAACAAGTGAATAGCAAAATCAACAGAAGAAACATACGGTTATAGTTCTTGGAAGATCATGTTCTTCTATCCCTTTAACAAAAGCAGCAAGAGCAAGCAGCACAGAAGCTTGTGTCATGAAAATTGACAGTATTATACCTCCCACAATCATCAAACCCAACCTATAGAATTATAAAACAGAAAAGAAAGAAAAAAGAAAAAAAATAACTTTTGAGATTATGTAATCAACGGGTATTGTTTTCAATCAGATATTCTCATGAAAAAATTAGTTTAGATGGGTCTTAAAATCTTAATATTTAATTTTGTTATGAGTGTGATATATGAGAAATTAATATTACACGTATCTGAAAGAACATCCTGATCAAAATTTTAACAAAGATAGCCTGAATGATCAATAACCATATTTAGACTCAATTTTGTTGGCCAAATAATCAAATTTTCCACCCATTGGTTTAAGAGCAATGTCAAACATGCAATGCCAAATAATCAAAATTTCCACCCATTAGTAATTAGCTTTTAAAGATAGTATGAAATTAGAAACATAACAGCTTCTTGTCTAAAGATACAAAAAAAAATTATCTGAACATAATTGGAGCAAATGCAAAAGGGACTAAAAAGGAGAATTTTTTAGGAGATGAATGGGGGCTTAAGTCATGAGCTCCTTTAAGTGATTCTTAAACAGCATGGCTTCCATGGAAGCTGTCTCCTCTCCCGCTCATAAAGCTCTTCATTGATTCATCATCTTCTTCATGCAGGTCAGTTTTTTAGGGGAGCTGTTGCAACGTCATATCATCTCTAATAGCAACATTAGCTAGAACCAGTAATTCTAGAAAAGTATTATTTTCAAAATTACCATCTCCAATAGCAAAAGACATATCATCTGTTCTGCTCTTGATTAGCATAACTTTTCTAGCCTTCTGCATCTGTTTATATTTTTATCTTAATGGTTGCAAACTTGTGTTTCCTTCTAAAATTAAGAGCAAAAAGAATCAATTTAAAATACTTTTTAAGTTCTTATCTTAAAATGATTGCAAACTTGTGTTGCCTTCCAAAATTAAGCGAGAGCCCCATGCCAAAATTCAAACCCAAACTCACCCATCTGATCTGGCCAATTCCAATTGGCTTTAGCACTTCAAAACCCTCCACCTAAGCACCATTTTGCACCCCTCAATTGGCAATGACAGCCACCCTAGGCCATTTTATTTAAACCTCACCTCCATGGCCAAGAAAGGGAGCTGGAATTTTCTTAAGGAAACTCTGTCAAATTGCTCTCAGAGACTCCCTAAGACCTCCTCAGTTCAAGCCCATCATTTTCCCCCACTGATCCTCACCGTGGAAGCTCAATTTTGAGCCCAAATTTCACTTTCCATAGCTCCACAACTCACTAAACTCCAATTACTTGTGCACACACCGTCCCCACAGTGAGAGAAATTGATTCCCCACAAAAGCTCCCTCTAAAATATCCCCTAACCTAGCTCTAGACCAACATCTGAAAACCACCTTGATCGAATTCATACCTAGACCATCCACTCATCCCTAGCCCATCCACTAAGGCTTGGGACTTCATCTGGAGGTTCGTTGGGACCAATATAAGCTACCACAACCATTTGATTGAGGCCTCCCCTCTCAGACAAAGGTAGTGGACCCTAACCCTAATCCGAGCTTATTTTTACTCTTCATACGTGTTTACTATATTTCATACTGCATAATCTGTATAGATAGGTTTTTCTTGAGTATATAAAGGTTTAAAAATAAACCCCATGTGATTTGGTTGAGTTTAGGCCAAGATCTTAAGGTTTTAGTGTGAACGGCTCACGGTTAAGGTCATTTGGGGACAATGACGGAGAGCCGTCCAATCACACGTGTATTCAACGGACGAAGGAGATCAAGCCGGACGACAGACCCATGGTGCATAAAACACAGTTCGCGTGGAGGCTACGTGGCTGGCGGCGTCAAATGGCGGAGCAATGCGTGGAGCCTTCGGAGCAGACAAGGATGAGTTGGTGTCGCGTGGATAAGTAGAAAAATATGAGATTTTTGAATTATTTTAAATGCCTAAACTTCAAACATCCATATCTTTCTCTAAAAAAATCCTAAAAATAAAAGAAAAATAATGTATTGCTCAGTGAACAAAGAAAAATAATGTGGACTAAAAATAAAAATTATTTTTCAAACATATGATTTTAAATTAATTAAATACTCTCTGTGGTATTTTAATTCTCCATGGCTTAAAATATTTCACCATGTCTTGAAATTTTGAGGGTTTATTCCCCATCACAAAGAGGATGTTCTCTGATTTTTCCAAGGTCAGAGAGCATCTCTATGCTTCTAACCCTAATTTTCAAGCTAAGATGACCATTTTGGCTTATTTTAATTATATAAATCAAAAAATCATTTGAAAAATTATGAGAACAATTTAAGTAGGTTTCCTGTAATTAGAGAAGTCTAGGAAAAATATTATGATGCTTTGTATCATTTTTGTGAATTTCTATACTTAGTTAAATGTGAATACCTTGTATTAATTTGTGTAAACTAAATACATATAAAAAATTAACAAAATCAACTCCACATCGTTCATAAAAATCATATTTACCCAATGTAAAAATTTGAAGATTTTTTGGCTTAGTTTAAGCACTAAAGTGGATTTTTTAAGAAATCTTGTATTTTTGTACAAAAATAATTATAATAAATTAAATACACTTAGAAAAATTATAAAAAGTCATTTTCTGATTTTCTTGTGATCAGGGGCATTTTATAAAAATAAAACCTATTTTTATGAAAATATTTCATTTTTTAAATATATTTTAAATTAAAAACAATCAAAATTTTCAAAAATATAAAAAAATGGTTCAAAATGAGTGGGAATGTCCCCTGGTCACTTAGTAATCATTAGGACATTTTTCCTAATTTTTCTAAGTTAAAAATGAATTTTAAAGACTTAAAAATGAATTTTTCATGTTTTCCCATTTAAATAATTATAATAAATAAATTAAAAAACACAAAAAATATAAGATTTGATTCTCTAGGTTTTCTGAATTCAGGGAAGTCTATTAAAAATATAAAAAATTATTTTTGTAATTAAACTATTATTTTATATTTAAATAAATCATGAAAATTGATCTAAAATTAAATAATAAAAATAGAAATTTAATTAAAAAAATCATGAATTTTTGTCTAGGTGTTTCTCTGACCTTAGGAAACCTCTTATATTTTTTTTTCATAAATATAAATTTTATTTTGGATAATTAAATACATTAACTTTTGAAAATCCTTTCTTTTAAATTTAAATAATTA